AGAAATGAAGAGTATTGAGCCATACCATGCAAGCATGCATATTTTCTCACATTTTGAGTTTAATTTCCAAGAATTCCCCCATGCATGTCTTGAATTCACCTTAATTTTGGAAGATCATTAAGTTTCATGTTGTTTTGTAGCGTTTGATCATGTTTTGAGGAGCTTAAGTTCAAAGGAATTCATGCATGTCATGTTCATAGATCATTCATAAATTTTAAGTTGAATTTTTGCACAATTGGCAAGTTATTTGGCCATGATTTCTTGAAAAGATTCTTAATTCATGGTGTATTATGGATTTCTAAGTGTTCCTTAAGTTTTGCCCCAGAAAAATCAAGTTTTGATGCTTAATGATTGAGTTTTGAGCTTTGGAAGCAAAATTGAAAATTCCAGAATTCTGCTTCCATGCTCGAGCGTAGGAGTCTACGCTCGAGCGACCACTCTGACTGCGTGCACTTCTGCTCGAGCGACCATGAGTCCGCTCAAGCATGAAATGCAAGCTCCCAGAAGTTCATGTGTTTTTGCAGATCGCTCGAGCGACAAAAGTCACGCTCGAACGAGGGTTTGAGTTTCACGCTCAAGCGACGATCGAGCGTCCGTCAAGCATAAAAATCAAGTAACCAGTACTTTTTCAAAATTTACAGACCGCTTGAGCGAACCCTCATGTTTTGCATGTCCGCTCGAGCGTGGACCCTATTTTCAGCAAGTTTTGAAAAATGTTTTAAAGTACATTTTTGCATCATCATTCCATCCTAGGCATTCCTAGGCCAAGATTAAGACACCATAATGAGGATAAAGGCTAGAAACACACTAAGAACAATTAAATAAGTTATGTACACTCTGAGCGTGTGTTTCAATGTATGTACCTGTTATGTTATGCAGGTCACGTGCCGTAAGACATCTAATTTGCTTATTCTGTCTGTTTACCTTGGAACCTCTGTTATTTGTGAGTAAAAACTTGGTAAAGTTATGTTCAATTTATAAGTATTTTCTGAATGATATAAGATAATCTGTTTTCTAAAATATTACTTTCTGTATGAATGAACAGTTGTCCAATGTTTCTGAAATGTATTCGTGGCATTCTTAGCTTCAGATGACATCTGTTATTTGTTCTGTTACGTCCCAGTTATGGGTCAACCGCACGTCTCATGAGCCAACTGTTATGGATCCTTCTGAATACGTCCCTTTATGGGCCAACTATACGTCTCATGAGCCAACTGTACCATCTCCGTACATGTGAGTCAATTGTAAGCATTTATGGCCGTCCTTTTATGGGTCAACTGTATGCCTTTATGGTCGTCCCTTTATGGGTCAATTGTTTCTGCTAGTGCTAATGAATGTGCCACGAATGATTAATTGATGGTTCTAATTATGAATACGACTTTGAAATTGTATCTATTATGTACTATGATTCCTGAACATAATTACGAATTCATTTCTGACAACTATTGAATTTTGTTTTCTGTAACTGTTATTGACAACATTCATTAAGCCTCTTTACTCTGTTATTATTCACTAAGTTTCAGCTCACTATTTATAATATGTATGTAGGTGAGTAGGTACGTGACCAGGGCTAGAGTTGACGGCCTATGTTTTTGTTTTGTCAACCAGCTACCATGCCTCCTAAGTTTTTTATATTTTTTTTTTTTTGAAAAAAGGTACAAAAATATAAAGGTGATATAACCCAAATAAACCAATAAGACAATAAACTAACTTTTTTTTTTTAAATTGCCAAAATAAACCTTTATACACATATTTTTTTATAAAAAAAAGTAATAAAAATCAATTAAAATAATCAATAATTTAAATTAAAAAACGACAATGATAGTGAGCTCTAATTTTGGAGCTCTAATGATGTGGTAAGAAAAAAAAAACAAAAAACAAAAAACAAAAACATAAGCACATACATCACATCACATGTGGGTTCTACTCCTTGCCACATCACTAGAGTTCTCTTTAAAATTTCAAAATTAGAGTTTCAAAATTAGAGCTCTCAATCTTTATTCATTAAAAAAATAGCAATCAATACGCCACTTCAAAGTGGATTGGCTTTATTGCTTAAATAGTGGGTGTTTTAAAAGATGGTTAAAAATTAATTTTTTAATTTTTTTTTGACATTTTTTAAAAAAAACATGTAAAAAATGTGAAAGATAATATAATTCAAAATGGATTAAAAGTTGAAAAATGACTTTTAACCCACTTCCTAATAAGGATGAATTATAAAAATTATAAATATCTTTCGTTGTAATTTGACATTTAATATATTTGATTAAAAAAAAATTAAATATCTTTCTCTACGATAATATATTATTGATATCATTAAAATCTATTAATTTATTTAATAATTGATTCATAAAAACAGTTATTTGTATGCTATTTGTAATATAAATCATTTGTAATTTCCCCCCCCCCTCTTTGTAAATAAAACCTTTTTTTAATTAGGATTGGGATTCAAAAAATTCAATTGAGAGAATTTGAGGGGCTCGTGGGATTCATCATAAATTCCATTTCGATAGTCTAAACTACATATTTTGTAAAAGTTTCCGTGTATATTATCTATAGAAGAAAAAAAGAAGATTGATTCAATAATCATTTTTTACTCCACGATTCTTAGGCCTCGTTTGGCATAATCTATATAATCCATCTTTTTATCTTTTTTCCATCACATCACCTCTCTACTTTTCTGCACATCTTTTCGTAAAAAGACAAAAGTACACTTTTTTAGGACACTCCAAACCAACCCTTAATATAATAGTATAATATTTATACAAAAAAATGTTACATTAAAAAAATAAAATAGTACAAAAAAATATATATTTATGAAATATAATTTTTAATATGGAAATATGTAATGCATGTATTAGTTGGTATAAGGCCAAATTTGATAGTAATGCAACAAGGATATTTGTGAAATTTTACATAGTTACTCTCACTCCTATCTCTCAAAACAAACAGGAACTATTAGTTAGTCTACTGGTTATCAAATAAATATAATTTTTCTTAGTCCCCTCACCAATAATCCACTTACTAACAATCCCCTAACCTACTTCTGAAAATAAACGGGCTCATAATCTTTTCATTTTATCACATTTTTCTCCAAAAAAATTGATAGTCTATTTTCAAAAAAATATTCTTGTTCATTTTTTTAAGACAAAAGCAATAAATGAAAATATTACGAGTATCAAATTAATCTAATTTTTTATGAACAAAATGAACAATTTGATTCACTAAAGTGGAACTCATGATGAGACCTAGAAGTTCTAAAATAATTATAATACATGTTAAATCTTTTTAATACAACTATGACTCCCAAAAAACAATTTGCACCACAAAGAGAGGAGGGAGTTGCACCCGTGAAAATATCATATGGTATGTCGAGATTATTTATTAATGGATTTTATTAGGGACATTTGTTAAGAATGTATTGAATCATTTTAAGAAAACTACTATTATAGAAAATTGAAAATATTATGTTGTTAGAGATCAAACTACAATTTTCTTTAATTTTTTCTATTTTAATATTTTATATACTTGTCATAATGAATTTTATTTTAAACATTTTTTAATCATATAAGTGAATGTCTCTTATTTTTGCGAATGACATTTCGTGACTTTTATTTTTTAATTTTTAAATTTCAATCATAATTAGATTATATGGTGTAAGGAAAATGAATCTAAAAATTACAAAAAAAATATTAAAAATTCAAAAAATGTCATTTAAAAATAAAAGGCATTCACTTTTACAATAAAAAAATATTAAAAAATATTCCATTAAGAAACTTATATATAAAAAATGTTAAAATAGAAAGAATTAAAAAAAAGAGAGGATAATTTGGTCCGTAATAATATAACATTTATAACCTTTCAATTTTATATGATAATGGGGTTGGTTAATATGATTTAGGGCACTTGTTAAACAAAACCTTGTAATAATTTTTCTAGTTGAGATTGTAAACCATCAATGCAACTACAAAATTGATCATCACATTAAAAATTGAAATTGATTCATTAAAATTGAAATCTTATGTAGGATTGTTGGAAAGACTTGTGGATTAGATCAAAAATTGTAAGATTTTACTTTTAATGGAAAATAAATATATAAAAAAATATCGTTAATAATTATGTATGCTATTAAAAATTTTAAAATAATGTATCTTCTAACTTAACATAAATTAGATGAGACATTTGAAGGGTGAATAGTCAAATTGTTTATATAAATACACATATTTAAAAATTAAATAATAAAAAATTGATTAAATCAAAATCATAATACCATTGAGATTTTAACATTTGATTTTCATCTTATGTTAAAGAAATAGTTTAGAATAAAGGTGAGTGAGATAGACAAATCGGTTTTGTCTATCACCACTCCCTCAAAGGCTAGACCTTTTACCATTTGTGCAATCCAGCCATTTCGTGTGTAACCAAAAAATATAACAAAAAAGAAAATATGACCGTTACTGGTGATTTGCAAGCACCGGAATGATGGGATGATCATGGCTGCTCCAAAGAGGAGATCGATCACCTGATTCGGAGTAAAAAAATGATTAAAAGCTCCATTGATGGCCCAAATAATGAACTGATGGCTGATTCAGCTCCAAATGACAGAGATGTGGGGGATGAGCGAAGCCCTAGATCTTCTTCGGACAAAGCTAACGCACTACAAGCTGACGCCATCCCAAGAGCCATTGATACTAATCAAATGGAGGGCTTCGAGGTAACCAAACCAGCAGCCAAATCATTCAAACAAGCCCTTCTAAGATCGAGATTCATGGAGAGTGGAAACGAGAAAAGCTTTGACTGTGATGTTGAGGACATCTCATCGGATGAGGAGGATGCCCCTCCTGAAGGAGAACCAGAGAAAGTGGATGAAGAGGAGGCTCACAGTGGCATTCCCACAACTAATATCCCACCAGGGCTTCTAAAGAAAATTCAAGAACCATGGAAGAAGTGTTTGATTGTGCGACTTTTGGGAAAAACCATAGTTATTTATGGCCAAAATGACCAAATTATGGGGGCTACAAGCTGACTTTGAAGCTTCGGATCTTGGTAATGGTTTCTTCATTGTGAAATTTGATATGTTGGATGATTATAACAAGGTTTTCACTGGGGGACCATGGGTTGCCATGGATCACTATGTCACCGTGAGGAAACGGCAACAAGACTTCAAGTCGGATGAAGCAGAGGAGGCTACCACAGCAATTTGGGTACGATTTCTGAATCTACCAATTGAATATTATAATGAGAAGGTCCTCTACCAGATTGCCAAAGTCCTTGGAGTTCCTTTGAAGATTGATATTAACACAGCTATGGCTGCAAAAGGGAAACATGCTAGAGTTTGCATCGAAATGGATCTCTGAAAACCACTGATATCCCAATTTTCTATAAGTAACCACATCTATGGAGTTGAATATGAACCTTTGTATTCATTGTGTTTTCTTTGTGGCAGGTTTGGGCATTGGAGAGAGGCTTGCAGCGACAGAGTTATGCCAGTGCAAGAGAGGTTAGAACAAGCAGGGACTAGAGATGGTCATCAGGGTGCAGGACATGATGACAATGGGCCAGGGCCAAAAGCAGAGGTAATGACAGAGCCTAACCCAGGAATTTACGGACCTTGGATGATGGTTCAGAATCAAAGAAGGAAAAACAGAGGCCCAATGGGCACTAAGCCATCAATGACCCAAATGAATAATAGATTTGAAGTATTAAGGGAAGAAGGAGGAACTGAAGTAGCTAAGGCCTCTTATGGAAAGGAGAAAGGTAAGGGTAAAGCCCAGGTTACTGTGGGCTCTAGCATCCAAAGTAAGCAAATAGATCAGAGTCCAGTGAGCACTAGCTTTGCAATGGTTAAGGACAAGAAAGGAGCAGCAGGTAGTCTGGGGAAAGCAAACAATTCTAACATAAAGATACGCGATCAAGAGGCAGAAATAGGGACAGATGTACCATCCACCCCACAGAGCACATCCACACAGCTAGCTACTACTTCCAATCAGTCTACCTTTCAACCAGCCAGCTCAAACAGTAAGCTGGTTAGTACAGGAACTAGAGTGGCGAACTCTAAACCTAGAACTGGCGTTCCACCAGATAAGAATAGAGGAGGAAGGAGAGAACCATTTGACAGAAGTGCACAAGCTCGCACAGAGCAGAGTAGTGGTGAGCTTGTCACCAGAGAAAGAAGCATTTCACCTCATCATCTTAGAATGGTGGAACAAGGAAGTATAATTGAGGATAATGCCATGGAGGCAAGTCGAAGCGAGACAGGACCTCCACTACATTTCAATGACCCCATCCCAGACAATGGAGGCGAACTACAAAGCAATCAGGGGCTATCTGGGAATTGACAACCAGGAACCCCTACCTGATCAACAAATTTTGTCCATGGATTTGCTTATTTGGAATTGTAGAGGAGCAGGGAATCAGAGGTTCAAAAGGACTCTGAGGGAACTAGTCCAAATCCACAGACCAGCCCTTGTGGTACTTATGGAAACTAAAGGTGACTTTAAATCAATAGAGATGTTCTTCAATTGCATGGGTTTTACAGCCTCAAGCCATGTGGATCCCATTGGTAGAAGTGGAGGTATCTGGATGCTCTGGAACCCGAATGTTGTCAATGTAAGGGTGGTGAAAGCTAGTTCTTAGCAAATCACTGATATCATCTCTAGGCAAGATTTCCCTGACTGGCTACTATCAATTGTTTATGCTAGTCTAAGTAGTGCCAAGAGAGATGATCTTTGAGCTCAACTGGAAACTATTGCACAACACGTAGAGGAGCCTTGGTTAGTTGTTGGAGATTTCAATGATTTTACTACTTTAAATGACAAAAGAAGTTTCCATGCTAGCCAACAGCAACACTTAAGCCATGAATAGAGGAGGAGTAGGAAGTTCAATGCGTGTATTGATTCTTGCAAATTGATGGATCTAGGGTGCTTAGGACCAAGGCTGACCTTGTCTAATAATAGGAAAGGTTGGGCCAATACCATGGTAAGATTGAACAGGGCTTTGTGCAACACCAAATAGAGAACAAGCTTTTCGGATGGAGTTGTGAAGAACCTTCCTCGCACCTATTCAGATCACTCACCCATGATGGTTTTCACTCAAGGTAAGTCCCCTTTTATTTATAAGAATAAACCCTTTAAATTTCTGGCTGCTTGGATTACACATGAGGACTTTAAAACTATGGTGGATGTGAGTTAGAGCAAGAATGCTACTTCCCTATGTAACAAATTACAAGCACTTGGGCACGAGACTAGTGTTTGGAATAAAGAGGTGTTTGGTAATATTTTTCAAAAGAGGCAGTGGTTATTGGGAAGAATTAAAGGTATTCAATTTTCACAAGCCATCAATTATCCCCATAACCTCCACAACCTTGAAATGGACTTGGTTGCTCAATACAACAAAGTTTTATACCAAGAGGAGCTCTTGTGGTTCCAAAAAGCTTGCACTAATTGGATTACTTAGGGTGAGAGGAATACTAAGTATTTCCACCTTACTACCCTGAATAAGAGAAGGAAAAGGCGGATTGAGATGCTTAAGAATGAGAATGGCTCTTGGGTTGACCAGGCTGATCAACTCAAAAGCCTTATCAATACATACTTTGCTAAGCTGTTTAGTGCTTCTCACACTGTCCCTCTTGTTTAGTGGAACAGTTTGGTGCAATGTAAACTTAACCAAGAGGATAACTTGGATCTCATTAGACTTGTTTCTGAGGAGGAGATTCGGCAGGCTGTGAGAAACATCAATGCTTTTAAGGCCCTAGGGAGAGATGGGTTTCAAGCTCTGTTTTATCATACTTATTGGGATATTATTGGGGCTGATGTGTGTGAATTTGTAAAAAATTGTTTTTCTGATAGACACATTCTTCCTGAAGTTAACAAAACCTTGATTGCTCTGATTCCCAAATCTGATAATCCTGAGAGCATCAAGCAATTTAGGCCTATAAGCCTCTGTAATGTGTCCTATAAAATAATTTCCAAAATTATTGTGAGTAGAATTAGACCTCTCTTAACTAAAATTGTGAGGCCCAATCAATGCAGTTTCATCCCTGGCCGTAATACTAGTGATAACATTATTATTTCCCAAGAGATCATTCACTCTTTGAACTATAAGAAAGGTAAGTTAGGGGGGCATGATTTTTAAAATCGATTTGGAGAAGGCCTATGATAATATTTCTTGGGATTTTCTTCAACAAACTCTGGAGGTATTCAATTTTGACAAAAGTACGATTGATCTTATCATGAGCTGTGTCACTAGTGTTAGTTCCGCTATTATCTGGGATGGTGAGCCTCTAGAAGAGTTTCAACCTCAAAGCGGTTTGAGGCAGGGAGATCCTTTATCTCCCTACCTGTTTGTTCTTTGTATGGAACGACTTTCTAATATGATCAGTTTTAAAGCTGAGAACAAACATTGGAAAGGGATTGAGGCTAGTAAAGGTGGCCCTATTATCACACATTTATTCTTTGCCAATGACCTCATGCTATTTGGTCAAGCTACCTTGTTTACTTGTAGCACTATTATGACAGTTATGGAGGAGTTCTGTGGTGTTTCTGGTGTGAAAATAAATCCTCGCAAGTGTGTGTCTCCCAACCTTGATAGGAGGACAACTGGAGATTTAAGCTCCTTCTGTGGGATTTCTTTAACCAGTGATTTAGGGAAATACTTAGGTGTTTCCCTAATTCATGGTAAAGTTAATCAAAGGCATTTCACTGCTATCATTGGGAAACTACAACAGAGGCTTGCTGGCTAGAAAACTAATGTTTTATCTATGGCTGGCAGAGCAACTCTGATCAAATCAGTGAGTGCTGCCATCCCCTCTTACACAATGCAAACTATGTTTCTTCCTAAGAGAGTTAGCACTGAGATTGATAAGCTGAACAGGGATTTTCTCTGGGGTGACACCCTGGAGAAGAAAAAAGTCCATCTTATTAATTGGAATACTGTGTGTAAAGTGAAAAAACATGGAGGTCTAGGAATTAAAAAGGCCAAAGACCAAAATATAGCCTTGCTATCTAAGCTGGGCTAGAAACTGGTTAGTAACCAAGACGGGATGTGGTGTGAGGTACTTAAAAACAAGTACTTAAAGACTACATTCTTTCAAGGTTAGAATAGAGGGAGGAAAGCCTCTCATCTCTGGAGAGGGCTGCTTAGTACCAAAAGCATTCTCAAGCAAGGGGTGAAATGGCAACTTGGTGATGGTGTGACTGTGGATGTTTGGAGGGATTAGTGGTGTGGTGACAAACCTTTTGAGGAAATTGTTGCCAGCCAGCACCTGAACATGCCTAGTGGGCTAAATGTTAAAGATTTAATGAGAGGGGATGGTAACTGGGATGAGAATTGGGTTACTACTGTCTTTCCAACTCCTATCTCTACTCTTATCCTGGGCCATCCTCCTCCCAATGCATCTGCTATGGACCTCCCTTTGTGGAAGGGTGCTCCTGATGGCGCATTCTCTGTCTCATCTATTTATGAGCTCTTGATAAGAGCAAATGAGATAGAGGAAGACTAGAATTGGATATGGAAATTGAGACTCCCTCAGCAATTGAAAACCTTTCTATGGACAGTGTGCTATGGGAAGGTATTAACAAATAATATGAGAATGAAGAGGGGCCTCACCACTGATTCCACCTGTCCTAACTGTAGTGGAAATGAGGATATTAATCATTTATTCAGGGAATGTCATAAAGCCAAGGAAGTGTGGCTTCAAATCTTTGGCAAAACTTGGTATCTCAGCTTGATGAGAAAACCTTGGAAGGATTGGCTTAAGAGTAACTCTTGTAACAAAACACATTTTTCTGGAGACATCTCTTGGTACACTGTTTTGATTGTCACTCTTTGGAAAATTTGGAAAAATAGGAATTGTGTTGTGTTTGAAAATAAAATAACCAGTTGGCAAGAGAGTGTCAAATTCATTTCAGATTATTCTAGAGAAATCAACCAAGCATTTCTCAATTTAGTTACTATGCCTAAACCAGCTTATAGACTGATTCAATGGATTTTACCACCTGCAGGAAGACTCAAAATGAACATTGATGGCTACAGAAGAGCTGGAGGAGAAGGAAGTTTTGGTGGACTGCTTAGAGATGAGAGAGGAGTGTGGGTGTGTGGCTTCTATGGCAAGATGCAGATGGGAACTAGTCTCGAAGTTGAGCTGTGGGCCTTGTATAAAGGGCTGACAGTTATTCTCCAACAAGGTATCAACAATGTGACCATCGAGACTAATGCAGCCCAGGTGGTGAAGCTGATGGAGGAGCCAATTGCGAGCAACTACCCCTTCAAGAATTTGGTGGAGGATGCAAAAATACTTTTCAGAGGCTGTGAGTGCACCATCCAACATATTTGGAAACAAGGGAATTTGTGTGCCGACGCCTTAGCCAAAATGGGTGCAGACCAACCGGAGGAAATGCTGGTGGTAAATGTATCACCAGCTGAGCTGGGTAACTTTCTGCCAGCAGATATGATAGGAGTTTCAAGGGAAAGGGGTTAGCCCTCCTGTTTTGTTTCTTTCTTTCCGTTGTAACCAAAAAAAAAAAATTATACATGTTTTGAATGTCCAATCTTCAAGTTCTACAAGATTTTATACTTCTTCACGTAATTATATTTGAATATTAATTTATATATATAATCATGTTATATTTGTTCTAAAAAAATAAAAGATAAATATATTTGGATGAAACACCAATAAATCTCAAATAGTGATCTTATGAACTATTTCGTCCTCTTTTTTCTTATGGATCCAAATGTCTCATGCTAGTGTGAATTACATGAAGAACCAAGTATAAACACGTTTGTGTTATTTGTTGATGGACAAATGTAAAGTTTCTCAAAATGTTAAAATTATTAAATGTAATAGTTCAAAAAAATTTCTTAGTGTATTTTTCTCAAACGTAACATTACAATGTAACATTTCGGAAATGTAACACTCTAATATAATACACTAAAAAATTCTTTAGTGTACTTTTCTAAAACGTAACAACATAACATTTCTCAAAAACTCATTAGTGTATTTTTCTTAAACGTGACATTCCAATCAATGTAATACTAAAAAATTCTTTAGTATACTTTTCTCAAATGTAATACTCCAATCAATGTAATACTAAAAAATTCTTTAGTATACTTTTTTCAAACATAACAATATAACATTTAAAAAAAACTCTTTAGTGTATTTTTCCTTAACGTAACACTACAATAAATGTGACACACTGAAAAATTTCTTAGTATGTTAAAAGCCAACTTTTGACTTTTTTTTTAAAAAAATGTGTAAAAAAATAGAGAAGTGATGTGGCCTAAAAAAAAAAAAAACTTAAAAACTAGCTTTTTGACTTTTGACCCAATTGCCAAAATAGGCCAATGTAACATTTAAAAAAAAATCTTCTTAGTGTACTTTTTCTAAACGTAACACTCCAAT